ATGACATCAACCTTGTATTTCTGTAAAAAGAAATGTTGTGATGTAACTCCTGGGACTCATGAAAAGATAAATTAGTTAATGTTTCTAGAAGATAATGATTGACCAAGAAACATCTTCCTTGTGTTTCACTGAAAAGTTACTAAGAATCCAGTCACTCAAAATTTCCTTCCAAATATACATATCTCAGTAAGCATTTCTAAAGGGGCAAAGAAGTTCATGACCATGCACCAGATCTAAACATTTCTGAGAAAAAGTAAAAAAATCTAAGTCCTCCCAACATGGCATCATAACTAGGTTGAAATTGAATAGTCTATATACAAATGTGATTTTAAAGGGGAAAAATATATATAAAACCAAGACACATTGAACCTGGCAAAATACACTCTCTCCACAAGTTAAAGTATTTATTCCAATTAAGTGATATTTCTTAACGTCAAACTGTAAACTACATCTCAAAAAATGAGAACAATGAATATGAGGGCTTTCATAGGCAAGATTTTCTGTTAAACTGCCTGAACATTGAAAAAAATAGAAAACTATTCAAGATTCCTTAACACAGTATTTTCTATTAAACAGTAACTGTATTTTTCATTCCTTAGAATAAAACAGGTTTCATCTCAACCAATAAAAAGTTCTTTATTTAAAAGCTTACTATAAGATAGTGTATGGGTTGTTATTTGATGTTTGTTTTGTCTTTCCCTCAAGACATTTTTTTCTGTTACTCCAATACAGACTGCAAAACTCAGAGATGTCATCATTAAACATCTCCTAGGAAATGCACAAACTGATTAGTATATTAACTCGGGCATAAACCAGCCGTGACCACACTGACTCCTTTCTGTATGGTATCACTCTGGGAAAGACTATTCATGATACATGTTCACAGTACATCATATTATAACATCATGGGGAGTCGGTACATGTACATAACACAATTTAACACTTTCCTCTTAAAAATACAACTCCCAGAAAGCTTTCATGTCAATTCATGTTTTGTAGAGGAGTAAAATTACTTATATCTTGATGTAATTTTCATTGAGCCTGGTTAGTTGTCTGCTTTAAAATAAAATGATAACTTAAGATAGCCACAAAGGTAAGACTATCTTTTCCATAACTCTACAGAACAAAAGTCATTAGCCACATACAATCTCAATATATTAAGTGTGCCTATGCTTATCAAAGGACTTAACATTAGATTTAGCAGTCTTAATATTTATTATTTTATTTATGCATTTATTTATTTGAGACAGGATCTCACTGTTTCTCTGGCTGCTCTCAAACTCCTTAAACACTTCTTCCTCGCCAGCCTCCAGTGTAGTGTGGACTACCTGGGACTCATTTACATTATCAGATGACATTAAAGTATGTCTACAACAACTTAGGTACTACATAAGAATCTGCTGTTTCATGTATAAGGCTTATGAGATTAAAAACAAAGATTTGATAATCCTTATAAAAATTTAATGAATGAATTATTACTATGCAAGAGAATAAAAACATATTTTATATTAATACAAAAAATAATGTAAAACATTTCATTAATTTTTAATTAATGACTATATGTCAAAATAATATTTTGGATATATTGGGTTCAATGCATTTTAAAATGAATGTTTTCAGCTTCCTTTTACTTTATGACTTCCATGATATTTCTATTAGGCAGCAATGATAGGAGTAACATTAATCATTGCTCTGAGTACCTGAGCTGAGCCAGTTGAAATAGTTTTAAAAATTGCCCATCAAGAGAGAAACACAGAGATCAGAAAACATTATATTTTTGCGTTCTGTTTTTGACACTGACCACCCAAAACACTCCAGCAAATCATGCACTTTCTTTGGCGTATGTATCTTGATATATAAAACAAGAATTTTTTTCTTAGCACAAGCAAAAATACTTGTAAAATGCCTGGCATATGATAGGTTCCTGTAGAGCTGAATGGCTAGTTTTCAATACAAAGCAAAGGTCACAGACAATTACTAAAAATCTACTGCTTCTTTATATCTTAGCTTTTTGTAGATATGATATTTTCTGTGGATCCTTCCAGTGACAATACTAAGATAATCTTGTCACCACAGTAAACTTTTCAGATGAATGATAGCAACCTTTAATAACGTATAATACTTAATGAAAATAGGTAGATACAGTCCCATTCATGTTTTTGGATGGTATAAACTGATTCCAGAAATATCATCATTATTTCTGTCAACCTAAAATTTCTGTGACTCTAAAACAAACTCACCATCTCAGAATATTTATAAGCTCTTCAGGATTTCTACATTTCTATCATGGTCAAACTGAATGTTTGATAAGCTATAATATGTACTGCTCTAAGATATTAAACTAATACTTCATAGTTATTAAAGATATAAAACATGGGGATCAGGAATATTTATTTTAAATTACCTTATCTCATTGTTGTACTTACTGTATTTTTTTCAATTTGAAAAGTGCCTGAAAATACTTATTCTATGAAATCGTACCACAAACATAAGATTAGAAAAGTAATTCTTGAACATATAGAGTCCTTCATAAAGCAAATTGCAAAACTACAGTTTTGGGTTTTTTTTTTTTTACTGAAAAGCACATATTGGTTGAAATACTAACTTTAAAATAACTTAGGTGAACTAATGACTAGAAAACCCAAATGAGTAATTGATGGAAAGGTACAAGTTTGAAAGTCATGAATCATCTTTCAGCATGCTGTCAAGAAAGAATAGCATTTCTTTCCACAAGGATTCCCATAAAATGTTGAATCCTGACCAGATAGCTTAAAGATCACCTCACTTCACTAGTCTTAGGTTTACCTGAAAAGTAACTCAGTGCCCTCTCTTTATCAGTTTGTTGCCTTTTGGCCATGGTCCTCTCATCAGTTTTTTCCTCACTCACTTCATTAGTATTCATTGAGGCCCCATGTGCCAGCCAATCTTGGACATCCCTAACTTGTCACACCATCTACATAAAACAACTAAAGTGTGATGGAAGTATAGAGGTAGAAAATACCTTTAAACATTTTAAAAATGTGTTGGGCTGCGTGAGTGTGAATACACATATGCATGGATATATGTATAATCTTCATCTTATCTGACTGTAACCAAAATATAACTGAAGTTGCACAACATACAAGATCATAAAAGTTAACTTGTTCGTTTCCGGCTAGTCTTCTTAAAAATAAATTTTTATTTTAGTTTATGTTGTGTACCAAGTTAAAATCCAAAGTTCAACTACAGCTTTCCAAGTTATTGCAGTAAATATTCCAATTTTTAGATTTTATGTTAACACAAATATCTACTGATCCAGAGCAAATTTTACAGATCCAGAAATTTTGTAATTCTCAAGTCTTCAAGTTGTTCATCAAGTTATATAAGAAGTCAGATAAAACCTCCCACTGAACAAAAATGTCCTCTTCATTAATTCACAACCAATGGCAAATTTCCAGGAAATAAAATAAGAATGATAGGTAGCAGACCTGGTAAGTTCATTAGAAAACAAATTCTTATTTTTTGAATTGTAACTGTTTTTTCACTGGTTTTCTCACTAAATTACAAGCAAATTGAGGGGAGGGATAAGGTTCTACTCTCTGTGTCCATTAGAAAAGCACAGATTTCAAGCCCAGAAGTGACCATTTCTGTAATTCCAGCTCTCTGAAAGGCTAAGGTAGGAGGATCTGAGCACAGTCTAGGCAGTCTAGGCACAGACTAGGCAGATTTTGTCTCAAAATTTCAAAAAGGAAGAAAGAAAAAGGGAAGTTGGAAAGATAACTTAGTTCAAAGGCCTTAAATTCAATCCCCAAAATTGAAAAAAAAAAAAAAAGTGCAGATTTCATAACAGTTTCTAAGTGGTTGAACAGAGATTACAAAATGATGATATATTTATATCTCATAATTTCCAATAAAATGAGTTTGTTTTTAAGATTACTTTGTCTCATCCTTTTAACTTAAAACAGGTATGAAACATTTTTTAAAAAAATAATAATGTGACTCATAGGTTATGAAACATTGCATCTTTTGGTTAAAAAAAATCAATTACTATTAATTTAGCTGCACCTTACTGCGGGCATGTGCCAGTCACTGCTCAGGGTGCCAAGGTTTAAAGATAAATAAATTTTCTACATGTAAAAAACAGAGAGTTCCATAAAATTAATCAAGTAATTCTAAATAGTCACTAAATTATGGAAAGCAAAGCAATACCTCTCCTCTTTAAAATGTGTTTTATTCCTCCTTGAAAAAGAATGACAAATCTACTTGCTTGGGTGCCCTAAGATTCTGCAATATATTTTATATTCTTTGCTTGTTCTTTAGAAAATGCAATCTCCTATGCAAAATATAATGTCATTGGTGAGGCTATCTTTTGTTCAGGGATCAAATAGGAAATCACAAAAAAGAAGGATGAGTTCAAAAACGGAACAGAAAAAAGAACAATATCTACATGAAGTAAATCAGAGCCCTGTTTTACACAATATCCCTCTCGTATCAGAACAAAACACTAGAACCACAATCAGCTGCTAACCAAAGGCAAACAACTGAGAACATCCCAAAGTGAATTATTGCATTAGACACACACTTTGTGGGAATCTCAGGAAAACAAAACAGTGGAGAGATCCTCTGGACAAGCACACAGGCAGGTTGACAGCCATGGTAAGTGGAAACCAGGAGCCCTCAGGGGTCATTTTCCTGGGGAAGCAAAGTCTCCAGGGCATTTAGAGTTTGCCAAAAGGAACCTTCTCAGACACTAATAGCCTGATCTGGCAGGTTCATTCATTTCACTTTAGCAGTTTATCTTTAGTTATCTTTTATGTTATCTTTAGTTCTAAAAAAAAAAAAAAGAAAGAAAGAAAAGAGTCAATCTTTCTCACCTACACAATTGTGAATGATAAATCAAGAAAACTTGACCACATCAGATACTGACAAGTTTGTAAAGGGTGCAGCAAATGTTTCTTTGATGAATAGAACTGGCCAACCCTTGGGACAATGTTTGCTACATTCAACCGAGTTCTACTTACACCCAGCATCTGGTGGAGGTAGTGATACTCTGGCCCTTGATTGTACAGCAGGAAAGTTTTGCAAAACAGTAGGGCATTCAAGGAGAGCCATATGAGCTAAAACAAAGAGACAGAGGAAACAAAAATTAAGAATAAATATCACTCGATGAATGAGATCACATTTTCTGAACATAGTAGTTTTAGTGCAGCAGCAATAAGTGATTGCAGGAAGCATCTCAATTAAGCAGAAAGCTGGAAACCACTCAAAGGAAAAACTGGCCCTAACCAGTCCCTCCAACCTAAGAATAAACATTTGGGTGGCAAATTGGTCTCCAGGCTCATTTCCAAAACAGAATGATCTGCAGCTACAGACATCCCCTGAAGTACAAAATAAGACTTCAAATTAGTGACAGCACTCTGTCCTAAGCAACCGGAACCAATCTGGGAAAAAGAGCAAAGGGGGAGGGGGGGTTATCTAAAGGGTTAGGAAAAAACTGTGTTCACTTAAATAGCTTTTCCCTTCCTCCACATCTGTGCATCCGCTCTCCCATCCATGTGAAGGAAAGTTCCCAAGGGTAAGGGGATGGAGTGGGGGTGTCATTATTATCTCTGAGTTTCCACAGCATAAACTTTGCTCGTTGAGAAAGTTCAAGTAAGAGCCAAAACTTCTACTTCCAAACGCCCACCCGCGCACGCTCCGAGAATGAATCAAGTCTAGGCGAGAGAGACCCACGCGAGGTGCCCGGCCCGCCATCCTACCAGGCAGAGGTGTTTAACCCCTTCGTTGGCCAGCCAGCTCCTCCAGGACACAGCCATGCCGCCGGCCCGGTGCTGCGTGCTTGGCCCGCCGGCCGGCCCAGAAGAAACAGTGGCCCGGGGGCAGCTGAGACGGATGTCTGGCCTGCGGGAGAGGCGAGGGACGCAGGTCAAAGAGCGAGCGAGGCTGGCGCCGCGCCAGCCCGGCGGATCCGCGCCCCGCAGCACAGCGCCACCCCGGCCGCCCCGAGCGCGCGTCTGCAGCGCCGGCCGCGCCTTTGTCTGCGCTGGCGGCGGCGGCGGATCTAGACTCCCGGGTGGGAGCCCGTCGGCGTCCCCAGCAGGCTGCAGCCTGGCCTGTGCTGCGAGAGCGCGGCCAAGAGGTGCAGAGCGGCAGTCATGCTGATAAATAGGGGGGACGCAACTCCTCCTCGGGCACACGCGCGCGCGCGCACACACACATGGGCACGCACGCCAAGTTTTTCCCCCAAAAGAGTTCAGCTCAAAGTGCCTAGGTACAGAAACCTGAGTCGGAAACAGCTGGGGTGTTAATATCCCACTGGTCCTCCGCAGCTTGCTCTCAGGTCACACGGACGCCCCCTGAGATCTAAGGCAAACCTCGCCCTTCTTTATCCTCGCCGCCACCCACCTGGTCTTGATGGAAACTTTTTAAACATCGCTGAATACAAAGAACCAGGAAGTAACTGGTTAATACTGACGTAATTCTCAGAGGCTTTAGAGCGGTTCAGATTTCCTCTATTTAGGAACTTTTTTACTACCTAGTTTCAAAGTCTGTATGGCAGTAGGAATCCTCTCAGGCTTGCAAAGGAGGCCCAGGGAAGGGTAAGACAAGTGTGGCACTGATACACAATTCCCACCCTGCAAAACAACCTGTCGGTGTTAGGGAAGAGGTGCGCACATCATTCAGTCATCCCGAAGAATGATGCTTAATAGATGTTCGATAAAGATTTATTAAAACAAGAACTTTCTTGAATTAAACAACCAAGTGACACCACTGGTAACATAATCGCATGGCTTTGAGATATAGGGATAGAACAAAGACTATTGTATCAGTCTTTTTATTTTGAGACAGGGTTTGACTAAATTGCCTCCAGGTTACAATCTTCCTTGATAGAATTTTCCGCGCGGGAGGGAACCATCTGATAGGATTTTTCGGCGCAGCTGAAAAGATAAGTATGAAATTAAAAGACCTTTAATATTTTAAGAATGTGGGGGAGACCCCAAGACCCTCCTGGGTCTGGCATTCTCTCCGCCAGACACGTGGTGTGGGAGCATACCTGTAGCTTAGGTTTGGGGTGGTGCCTAAGGGGCATTAGTGATGCACGGGTAGCCCATTGGTATTCATTTGGCGGCACAGGTAAATTGCCTAGGGGCGAGAGGATGACCTCAAGTTAGAGCCCCTTGGTTCCGCCTCCCAGCTTCCCACCGGCTACAGTGTCCCATCTGAGGCAAAAACCTTTCACTCCTGCCTTAGCCTTCCTCATAAACGGGATTGCTGTATGCACCGTGGCACCTGATTTAGCTCTTTCTTTTGTAAAACAAATTACATTTTAACACACTACTCATGCCCATGCTATATGCAATGCACTTCTCACAATTAATTTAATGATCCGACTAATGATTGTAACTTTCAAACTGGCCATGGAGGTGCCCCTCTGTAATCAGAGCCTTGGAGAGACTGAGGCAGGAGAATCACTGAAAGTTTGAAGCCAATGTAGGCTACATAGTGAGTTCAAGGCCAGCCTAGACTGCACAGCAAGACCCTGTTAAAGAAAAAAGAAAGAAGAAAGACTGACTTTCAGTAATTCTTTCTGTCTGTCGTCTCATTTTAATACATTACCTTTCTATATTTGTGCATGACCAAATTTAAAAATGAGCCTCTTTCTGAAGTTAGCATATTATTTGTAAACAATGCCTTTACCATATGATGCCTGAAGGAAATGGAAAAGAGATCATGGAAAAACTGAAAAATATCACTTGTTAGGGGCTGGGGATATAGAGTTCAGTGGCATAAGTGCCTACCTAGCAAGCGCAAGATGGTGAGTTTCAGCCCCAGTACCCCCCCCCCCGCCAAAAGTCACTATTGGCAAAAGATTACATTCTGATGAACACTAGTTTTCCTAGAGTGTTAATTTCAATAGATGGAAACAAAAGTTTTGGTTACAAAATAAACGGGTTCCTGGAATATGTTAATAAGAGTTAGGCAATTGACGGGGACTTGGGAAAAAGAAAAAGACCAAAAAAATAAAAAATAAAAAAATAAAGAGGCAATTGAAGAGTAATAGAATAAAAGATACTTGTTACAACTTCAGCTACTTCCAGAAAAATAACAATAAAACTGACAAAAGATTAAAATAATAGATCCTAGAGAAGTATGGAGGCACATACCTGTAATATCAGCACTCTGGGAGGCTGAGACAAGGGATCACAAGTCTGATTCCAAGCTGGACAACAATGACTTAGCGAGATAAGGTCTCAAAATAAAAAATGAAAATAGATTTGGGGATGTAGCTCAGTGTGAAGGCTTTGAATTCAATTTCCAGTACTACTACTGGTATCATAAATAATAATTAATGGCAATATTATAAATATGTACCTGATGAGTGTCAGGTACTGACCTTGACATTTAGTGTGCAGAAATCTCAGTTCTTATAGTAGTTCTTCAAACAGATATTAATGCTTCGGAAAAAGCTTATGTATATTTAAAGTATACTAAAGTAGTAGAGTATTAAAGTAGTATACTAAAGTAGTAAAGTATTAGTATACTTTAAGTATACAGAAATAAGCTAAAAGAGATTGAGAAATTTGCATTTTATAAAATAATGTAATAAAATAATAAAATGCATTAGTACTATTGATTGCTATATTTATCACTATTTTTTATTTTGTTTTCTGTGAAAAAGGCCCAAGATCTGACTGTGTATATGACTTATGTATCAGTCAGACTTTTAGTTGCCCAGACAAAATACCTGACACACATAATTTAAGCAATTTATTTTGAAAAAAAAAAAAAAAAAAAGAAATTTATTTTGGTTCATGGTTTCAGAGAGTTCAGTCCATAATCAGCAGGCTTCAAGGCAGAAATGGTGTAGAGGAAGGGCAAAGTAGAGGAAAGCTGCTTGACCCATAACAGCCAAGAAGACAGAAAGGAAAGAGCTGGTGGCAAGAACACACCCTCCTGGGCCATCCCGCCAGTATCCACCTCTTTCCGTAAGGCTGTATCTCTAACTGCATATTCAGTTATAAGCTCATCAGTAGATTCCACTGATGATTATGACACTCTCATGGTTGCATAACCTTCGGTCTTGCTTACTTTTCTCTCATTACTGAGATAAAATACTTGACACCCAAAATGAAGGAAGCAAAGGTTTATTTAGCTTACAGTTTTTAGAGGTTTCAGTCCATAATCAGCTGGTTCCGAGGCAGGGTGGCATGGCTAAGGGACAACTGCTCACAGTGGCTGCAAGCAATAAGGACAAGAAAGGCAAAAGGGGAGGAACATAAAGAGAAGACTCTTTGTCCCTTATTTTGTATGTAGGCCACAGCCACTTGAATGTGGCACTCACACCCATAATCCCAGCACTGGACCGTGAGTCATTCCCAAATTCTAGTAGCCTACCTGCTTGACTGCATGAGGCTTCGAGGGGACATCCAGACTCAAACTGTTACACCTTCCAAAGAACCACTTTTGAATACTTGAAATTTAGGGAGGGCATTTTGATACAAATTATAATATTTTATTAAGATTCTTTAGAAAGATAATAGAATTTGTATAAATGTTGATTATATTTATCCTTACTACTTTATAGCACTCTAAAAAGGGCCCAAAATCCATTTATGTTGGCATACAGGAAAATAGTAATGTGAGCCAACCCCATGAGACACAGGTAATGTAGTATTATGCAGAAGTATTCATCAATAAGGTTTTTTAATTTTCTCTAAGCCAGATTGTTTCGTGTAAGTAGCATCTTTCCCAAGCTAGGGTTAGGTACTCTCAAAAGTAAGGAGAGGTTCTGTAGCACTATCAGTACATTTTAGATATCGTGATGAAGTTCAGTCCTTGGCCCGAAAAATAATTCACATTAAAAAGAAAAAAAAAGTCTTAAATGACAAATTGCTTATTATAAACTGTCAATTAGATGTTCTTGACCTATTACTTGTTACTCAATAAACACTTTTGGTAGAAAAGGTAAAAAAACATTTTTGTAGAAAAGGTCCTTCAAAATATGACATGCAGGGGGCCAAGGGTTACTTCAGTGGTGTAAATACCTGCTTGGCAAACACAAGGTCGTGAGTTTGATCCCCAGCACCAAAAAAAAAAAAAAAAAAAAAAAAAAAAAAGACATGGATGAGTTACATTTGATGCAAGTTTACAAGTTCTACCTACTTTATTCCTTCACTCTTTCCTATCTCAGCTCAAAGTCAGAACCTTCCTGTGAAGCTTCTCTTAAAAAACCCATTCACTGCCATAAATAGAGTCATCCTGGAAGTATATACTCTTCAATGTGTTCATAATGTTCTGTACACATAATTGTTACTGCATTTTCAATATACTAATTTAATTATGTGTATGTGTGTGTGTTTAATTTGCTTAACAAACTAAACTTCTTAGGATAAGCCTACATTTTGTTTAGTTTTTTTTTTCTAAGACTCAGCTTTTTATTTATTAACAGAATGGTTTTTGATTAGTATAGTATCCTTATTTCTATGCCTTTCTCAAATTTCAGTTTTTCAAGTGTTTTTCCAGTAACACAAGAAGTTTCTGCTCAGGTTCCTAATCAACTACTAGAAAAAGATGAATGGAGTTGAACAGGCATGGTATAGGTGACACTTACTGCAGGTATAATGATAACCATTTGAAAAAGTGGGTCCTCATGTTATTTTCCCGAGGCTGGAGAAACAAATTGTTACAGATTTCACAATTCGAAACAACAGCATTTATTCTCGCACAGGTTTGAAGTACAGGTATTCAAAATCGGTGTCACTGGGTCAAAATCACAATGTTGGCAAAACCACAGTCTTTCCAAGTTGCTCAGGGCAAATCTGTCCCTCACCTCTTCTGGCGCAGGTAGCTAATAGCCCTTTGTGGGCTTTTGGCTGCATCACTGTAATCTCTGTCTCAATTGTCTCATTTAGTCCTATCAGATCAGCCTTTGTCTCTCTCCTCTAAAGACACAATTGTGATTGTATTAGGGATCACTTGGATAATTCCTTAGCAAGATACTTAGTTTCACCCTAACTGCTAACTGCCTTTTAATTTTACATAAAGGAGCTTTTACAGACTCTTAAGATTAGAGCTTGATATATTTGAATGGCTGTTATTCAGCCTGTTACATTTAAATTAACTTAATGGAAGTTAATTTTCTTTTTGCTGATCAAATATGCCTGACTTAGAACAAATTTCTCTTAAGAAATAAAAATTGGGGGCTTCTCAATGAT